CATAACTATTCTTAGAAGATAATGAGAATGAGGTGGATGTTCATTTGGTAAAATGAGTTATCAAAAGATGGACAAGTGGTGAGATCCATCCAAATATCACATAAAGAAATGCGGGCCTCATCGGCTCTATATCTTGATAGCTCGTTTTGCTAAATGGGTTGCCATCTCATAACTATCAAACCCTTATTCTTATTGTGCGTCACGCATTACTTGAATATATTAGGTTCCACTTAAATAGGCCTAAATATAGTAAAAGCAACAAAATTGAATGTATTAGGTTCCACGTAAATAAGCACAATGTAATAAAAAACACCAATTTTGAACGGATCTACGAGAATGTTGTGGTGGGTCGAATCCCTAGCATTGCTTAAACCTGTAATTTTATGGAATAACGTTTAATTTTTACGGATGCCATGTCCACGTTGGTGCTTGATGATCATTCCAGTTTGCTTATGGACTCTACCTAATTTGGAGAGTTAGGTTTAAACTAGCACGTATTTATTATTACTCAAATCCAATAACGTAACCGCGATTAAAATAAGAGACTCGAACAAAAGCAGCAGCTGTATAAGAGCATCTCCAACGGCTTCCTCATTTTATTGGTATTCTCACTTTTAGAAAATTTTGAGCTTTTTTTGGTCCAACAGATTCATCATCCCATTCCTCAAAATAGGGATGAAGGAGAAAAAAATGTGAGTCTTCCCTGTACCATTCTTCAAATTTTTGGGGAGAGATTGTCATAAATGTTTCACGTTTTTCAAGTCTCTAACTACTCAAAAAACGACTCAACACTATAAAATGAGGGGGCAAAAAACAAAAAGTTTATATCTAAATCTTTATTGTTAAAGTTCATGTCAAAGATGTAGAATATTTTTATTATTGTAATACATGCAGGATTCTTCAAAATGGGGAAGCTGTTGGAGTTGGAGCAAAAATAATTTGGAGAATATGACTTTTGCTTCCTTATTTTGGAGAAATGGGAAGCTGTTTGAGATGCTCTAAGTTGGTTAGGGGAGCTTAGTTTTTGGTCAAAGTAACTTTTAAGCTAGCTTTTTCATATCTAAATGTTTGGTAAATCACTAATAAGCTGGCCTATAAATCCTATTTTTAAAAAAATTATGATTTTTCAACTTTAAAAAACTAGCTTATAAGCTTATATAAATTAGCTAGGCTTGACCAATTAAATAATCATTCTAGCTATATAGCTTTTACAAGAATTTTATCATAAAAAGTAAAAAAACCATCAAAAGCCAACATGACTTATAAGCTCCTGAAAATAAGCCATCTTAAACACCTAGTCCCTATTCTTCACTGTTCCCATTGTACTTCACAAAAAAAAAGGTAATGACACATATACTATGACTTTAATATTATTTTGACACTATCATAAGCAAAGAGGGGTCATAATGAGTCGCTTTTTTTTATCTATTCATCTATAATAATGTGAGGTTTTAAAGATTCATGCTACAGTACTATTCATGCTGCATGCGGTGTATCTAATCCTTTATAACAATAGTAGGATTTTAAAGATTTACTATTCATACTACAGTAAATAATACAGTGAATTACTGTAGAATTATTGCTATAACACATTAGAGAACTGTGTTCCTTAGTGCTGTAGCACATACGAGATATCATGATATTTTAAAAATATCACTGTAGCATTTATAAAAAACATTTAAAAACTGAATTAATATAGCGAAAAAAAAAAATTGGATCCGTGCAAAGCACGAGGTGCACACTAGAAATTTTTAAGAGAGAATCTCACTTTTTTTATTCGGGGAGTCACAAAGTAATAGGAAAGTTGCAGCGCACTTATCACTTCTCACTGCGGAGTCCCCTCTGGAATTTTTTTTAAAAAAATTTTCCTCCATAAAAAACGCACCCAAAATCTTCAGAGCCGACAACTTGAAGAATTTGATCGCAGCTGCGATTCTCCTCAAATGGCTCGCGAATCGAGGGTAGGGGACCAGGCGCTGCTCGTGTACCCGTCCGAGGATGACGTGGCAGCCGGGCTCGCCGGGTACACGGCCAAGCTCTCGGAGGAGTTCGCCAAAGGGAGAGGGGCCTTCACCGTTGTTTTGTCTGGGGGGTATCTCATCAACTGTCTCAGGTTTGTGTACTATATTACATTTATTATTATTTGTTATCAAAAGGGAAACTTTGAGTGATGAAAACCCTTGATTCAATTGAGCGATAACCTTTGGTCGTTCTTAATATGAAAAGTATATCGCACAATAAATAAAAGAATCCGTGTTCATATCTGTCTTCATCGTTCGACCCACCAATTATTGAGCATCTTAGAACTAGTGAATGACATTTCTACGATAAAATGGATGTGGATTCTAGGATTGTATTTAGGACAGGCAAATAAAGGGAAAGGGCTCTTTGCCAGGGATTAATTGGATTAATGTGGCAAGTACTCACCAGTGGCGGATCTACAACATTTTTGGTGGTGGTTCAAAATATACACTAAATTTTTTTCTCAAATAATAGCAGGTGGGAAAAAAAATGAAGGAAGGGTTATTAAAGAGAAAAACAATCATTTTTAAACAATGATTTGATTTATATATATAAGAAACAAAAATATTTATAGAAGGCCTTAAAGAGGTAGAAATGATTTGACTTATATATATAAGAAACAAAAATATTTATAGAAGGCCTTAAAGAGGTAGACAGAACAAAGGGATAAAATGAAAGGAAAAGAAGAAGAAGAAGAAGAAGAAGAAGAAGAAGAAGAATAGAGGGGAGGTAAAAGGAAAGAAGCCTAAAAGAGAAATTTTCGAAGGCTGGATGGTTTGAACTCCAGACCTCTTACAAAATGTTACCAACTGCAATACCACTAGGCTATAGAGAACTTTTGTATGAGGTGGTTCAAGTGAACCACTTTGAACAAGGGTGGGTCCGCCACTGCATTTTCAAATAACTTAAGAGTCGGATCTAATTTCGAAATATGGAGATTCGAGGGTACGTATACAATTAAAGAAAATTTAGGTGTACATCGGCAGAAACCCGTTATATAATTTTGAGTTAGATAGCAACCAGAAAACATTACTAAGATTGAGCAACTATAGTTCAAAGACAGCATGACGCGCGGGGAAAAAACAACTAAAAGTAGCAAAAGTGGGAGCACTAAAAACACGACGAAGGGTACACGTCGCTACCGCAGGGAATATTTCAGAGATTTTTACAATAGAGACATAAATCCCACTACTTTCATAGCAAAGCATAAACTTTTTTTTTTTTAAATCTATTTGTAGGAGATACACCAAATAGCTTTGGAGTTGGGTACGTTCAGCTCCCAATTTCTGCAATGCTGTGCAAAGCTGGCCTCCACTGGCCTGAGCGTGACGCCGCCCCACTTCTCCTGCTGCAATTCTCCACCGCCGGCTCCATCTGCTCCTCGACTACCTGTCATTTTTTTTTTCAACCCCCCAAAAAAACGTGATACATCTCTGCTAGACAACGCAGTCATTAAATTTTATATATTAACCAGTTTAAGTTGTAGACAGAGTCCATGTACTGTCGATGTTTTGAACTTACTACCCTCTTAGTCATATTATATTTTTACGGATAGACCCAATTTCTCAGCGGACGGACAACATTTTGTAGATGATTTGCAGATGATAATAACAACTTCAGTGATCTAGAGGGGCTACTCTTAAAATATGAAAGAATTGAGGGAGTTATATCTAAGGGAGGCACTAGAGGCACATCCTTGGGCACACTCTCAGCCACACCCACTCACCTGCTACAGTATAGAGGGCCCCACATGAGATTTTTTTTAAAAATCTCATGTGAGGCCCTCTGCACTGTAGCAGGTGAGAGGGTATGGCTGAGAGTGTGCCCAATGGTGTGCTTCTAGTGTTTTTCTATATTTAAATAGCCCAAACGAGAAAGATAAACCAATCAAATACCCGTGGCAACTTTTAATTGAAGAACTTCAAGAAATTGATGGACCGTGCACAGCAGCATGCTACAATACTACTGTGAATCTGTGATTATATATATATATATATATAACCTACCCTGAATCGAATTGAAAACAAGCACCCGTATTGGAACCTATATATATATAACCTACCCTGAATCGAATTGAAAACAAGCACCCGTATTGGAACCTCCCAACCGTCCGAGTCATTCGAAGTTAAAAGATAAAAGTATATATATATATATATATATAACCTACCCTGAATCGAATTGAAAACAAGCACCCGTATTGGAACCTATATATATATAACCTACCCTGAATCGAATTGAAAACAAGCACCCGTATTGGAACCTCCCAACCGTCCGAGTCATTCGAAGTTAAAAGATAAAAGTAAAAAAGAAAAAATAAATCCTGTTAAAGTGGAAAATAGATGACCTCTCTATTTACTCCTTTCCTCTAAAAGGATATTTTGTCTGGTTCCTCTAAGATATGGAAACTCCTGAAGGCTATACCTAAAAATCCTTAAGAAAATTAGACAAATTTACTTAAAAATGAAAAAAATCCCTTTATTGACAAACAATAAAGGAGAGAGGGTTTCTCTTTTTGGACCCTTATAATTTGAGGGTTCAACTTAAGTACGATAATTTTGCAGGCGCGTTTCCATATGAAAGGTTTGAGGGTATATATCTAAATAAGTGTTAATTGTATACAAGCTTATTATGATTTACAATTCTTCTTATCTTTACAAAGTTTTTGGGGTTAATGTAGAAAATTGTTGGAGCCGCCATATGTGGATGGTGTTGACTGGGGGAAATGGCATGTCTTCTGGGTGGATGAGAGAGTAGTGCTGAAGACTGATAAGGACAGTAATTATAAGCTTGCTTATGATGGCTTCTTGTCGAAGGTATGCGCAATATTTTCTCCCTTTACTACTATTGCACAATAATAATTTATAACTCCCTGTAAGTTCCAACAATTATCGAGGCGTAGCTCGAGAGCATCTCTCAAGGTTTCTAGGTAACTAAACATCTAAGAAAGCATATTCTAAAATTTCCTGCTTGATCTTAAGTTCAACATGAATATAAACATTAGATGCTTTTAAACAAGCGTACATAGATATTGGTATTGGACTTTTAACTCTGTTTTTTCTTTCCATTGAGGAACTTAATTTATCCAGATCTTATATCAACATACATGAGTTTATTATGTTTCAATATGAACTATCTATCTAATGTTTTTATTTTGACAAAGATATGTGTATAATATTAAAGAAGTTCCGGTCAATGCTCAAAGTATATCTGAAAGTACAATTATGTTATAAGATTGAACATGTTAGAGTACGTGTTAGTCAAGTATCCATGAAGTAACTTCGAGGTTCTCTGTGCTATTCATGGTTGTAAATATTAGAACTTTTAGTTGGGTCTCTTCTATATATACCCCTTAAATCATGTGTATTTGCAAAACTATCCTCCCAACTCATCAACTTTGGAGAAAAAACACCCCTAAAATCAACAACAAAATCATCAAGTTTGATAGGCTAATTTGTTGTTCAGTAAATAACTAATTTGTCATTGCAATGTACAAATCTCAACAAAATAGTCAAATTTTTATTCACCATATTCAATGAAGTTGATGATTTGGGGTATTTTTTCCGATGTTGATGATTTGGGGTTTGTTCACAAATATGTATGATATAAGGGGTATACATGTGAAAAAAATCTACCAATTTATGAAATCTTTCAGGAGAGTGATCTTGATGTATTTCTTGTCTCCTTTTTTTCCCGTGGAAAACTAGGTCCCTATCCCAGAAAATCAAGTGTATGCCATTAACGACACTCTATCAGCAGAGGGTGCCGCTGATGACTACGAAGAATGTTTGAAGAAATTGGTGAAAGCGGGTGTAATCGAAGTTTCACCTACCAGCGGTTTTCCCCGGTTTGATCTCATGCTTCTCGGTATGGGACCTGATGGTCATTTAGCTTCCCTTTTCCCTCACCATCCTCTTCTCAAAGAGAAAAAGAGATGGGTAACCTTCATAAAGGACTCCCCAAAGCCGCCACCAGTTAGAATAACTTTTACATTTCCTGTGATTGATGCATCGGCATATATTGCAATGGTGGTTGTGGGGAATGGGGAAGTTGAAGCAGTTCGAAAGGCTCTGGGGCCACATAATGATCAGTCTGATCTGTTGCCTGTTCAAATGGTGTCGCTTGAAAATGGGGAGTTTACTTGGTTTACTGATAAGGAAGCCACCTCAGAGCTGCCAGATCTGCCAAATCCGTGAACAACTGTGTAAGATTGTGATACCCTTTTTTTTCCTTCTGCTTTTGACATTATCTTCCTTGGTGTGGCTCTATAAATTTGATACAGGAAATCTCTATTCAGTTAGTACTTTTAGTTTTTATAAAACGCTACATGTTTATCCTCTTATCTAGCCACTTGTGTTACCTGCTTCTATCTGAAGTTGTACCCATACCATACACATACCCATATTGGCACTTCTGGACACTCGGCGTTTACTTAATGTTATAATATGTGTTTGAATTTAAAACAGTCGTCGTGCACTTCTTTTGTGTATATACTCCACTTTGCTTGCACTTTCTTAAACTTGTTGGACATGAGTTGGGTTCGTTTTAGCCCGTACCAATTCAAAACTATGATTTCCAATTTACGACGTACATAATAAAAGAAACAAAAAAATTGTTATAGGAATTCTAATTCACATAACATGTAACTGAAAAAACAATATTGATCTTATGTAATTATTCAAATTATACTTATATAATATATAGAGCAGTGTCTCGTACCTTACCTTTTACAAAGTTCTCATGTCCTATACCTGTACCCGAATCAGTTTCCACGCCACATAGCTAGCATCTCAGTCATGATCTTCGGATCAAAAGTATTCAAAAATACTGTATAATTTATTGAATAGCTAGTTATTTATAATCGTTCACCAAGCTATGTAGTGCGATGTGTCAAAAATAACGGGTAATCCGTTAATATTTTTAAATGCATTCTGGGTTCTTGATCACAGTGGTTTCTTTCTTCCTTTGGGTCAGTATAGCTGATGTTATCTGTCTTACAATATCAGTCATAGCAATCTGAGACATAAATTTTCCATTTTTCTGCATGTTGCCTGTCAATCCCAATTTGATTGTCTATTAAGGTAAGTTTTGGTTATTGATATTTGAGCTTCTGATCGACCCATTATGAACAATTTTCAGTAGATGATATGTATATAGAGGGATGTGTTAGTAGATGGAGGGAGCAGGTGACTGAACGTTGTTATATTTGAAAATCGTATACATGCGCTGCTTATGTTTCAATCAGAATGCAATCTTCAAACACCATACCAACTTGAATAGGATCCCTCTGCATCCATGGAAAAGAGAAGATAAAATTTTCAGGCCTTAAATGGTTTTAAGAAACAAGGGGATAAGGATTTGGTGGATTTATCTCATGGTTATGCTTAAAACTATGAAGTTATTTAGTGGTCTTAGTAGCTATGTGATTAATAGGAACTAGTTTCTAGTTCTATCGATAGAAGGTTGTTTTCTAAATCCGTTGCAAGATTCTTGAATGTATTCTGTTTTAAACCTATGAACATGTTAAAATATACATTTTTGCTTACCTATGTTATAGTATAAAACTTGTGGGATACTTAGCATTTTATCGCCTGTTTGTTTTAAAACCAATAGAGGCTTGCTTTAGAATATTTAGATTGTAGATGCCTTAATTTTAGTTTCAGATGTCCAATTATACTTCTGATGCTAATTTTCCCCCTCTTTTTCACAGGGATGCTTCTCTAGTATGGAGCCATGATCAGCGATCTTAGATTAAGCTCTTAAATAATCGCTCTTAAATAAGGCGCATATTATTGGCTAGTTATATAAAGTTTGGTGAGGTTAGATGGCTTCACTATATAGTAATGAGGGCTATATGAACTTCTTCAACCTTTTGATGTCCTCTGGCAAAACTGCAAAATTCAGGCAATAAAAACTCAAGGTTGTGTTTCTGCCCACTTTTGTGAAGACAGTATGCTATTACTATTCTGTTAATTGCGCGTAGAACCTCCGTAGTATCGTTGTTTGAACTGACTACCCTCCTTCAGCTTTGGCAGATAGACCTGACAAGTTAAATATTTTTAGCTCTTTTACCCTTGGTGAAATTAGTGAATCAATGTGAGGATAAAAGAGTTAAAAAAAAAAAAATTTCACCCAGCAGATATATTTGCAACAATGAAAGTATGGGCGTAAAGTGCAATACAACAATACTACATGGGGTCTATGTGCAATTAATCCTAAACTATTACATGAAATGAAAAAGTTACATTTGCCTGTGATTTGGTATGCTATACATGTGAGGGGAATAATTCAGCGGAGGGAATGGATTTGGATTTGGTCCCAAAAAGACTGAATAATGAGTTGATAACTCCACATAGCTAATTTGTCACTGTGTTAGGATTTTCTTTGGGTCTCATTATACATTTGGTAACACCATTACGATAGAGTTGAGGTTAACTTTGGGGGTTTTCTCCCCCAAGAAACCATCTATAAAATATAGTTATTAAAAAAAAACCTTCTTTGATTGTGGATTTTGTTGCAATCAACCACCTACGGTCACTTTAAAGTTAAAAAGTTTTTTCAGTTAGGCTTTTTCCGTAGAAACCACCTTAAGATAGACAATTATATGGAAACCGCATTTCAATTTTAATTTATACATAAACCACCTATCAAGTGGATTTTTGTCGCAAACAACTGTCTCCCAGTCAAATTTTCAATAAAAAAAAACCAAAAATAAGCTTTAAAAATACAAGTTCAAAGTATGTGAGTTGTATCCTAATAAGATCTAAACCTAGAGTGCTAAACCGTATCCGAGGAAATATCTGTAATCATATCGGTTAAGATGTAAATATGATTACTCAAATCTATAACCGATAGAATATGGTTACGAAAATGGTTTCATAGTGAAATATCTGAATCCATATCTGAAATGTCTGAATACATATTAGCTATACTGTTATAATAGTTTCAATCATTAGATTATGGATCTGAGGTTAATTTTGATAGTCAAGATGTTTTGATTTTAGCTTTTCAGATATAATGAACATATTAATGAACTTTTTAGCGTCGCATGAATTATATTTGTTCAAAACTATCGAGTTTTTTCATATCAATTTTGTATCCACATGCATATTCGCTTATATATCCAAATATATATTCGTATCTGTATTCGATTTTAGCAAATATGAATATAAATTTTCCTTACCGATGTATCTCCATATCCGTGTCCGAGATGGGTAGCGAATATGAATATAATAAGTATCATATCCGAGCTATATAAGACCGAACGCACCCCTACCTAAACCCCTTAGAAAATGAGTCACCGCGTTGAATGTGAGTTTTTAAAAGGTAATTTTCTAAAAATTTTGAGTGCGAGGTGGTTGATTGCAATAAAACCCTATTTTAAAGGTGACTTACGCATAAATTGAAATTAAAAGGTGGTTGCTTGAAATAAAAAAATTCTTTAAAGATTGTTTATGTATAAGTTGACATTAGTGAAAGGTGGCTCTTGTAGATTGTTTATGTATAAGTTGATTAATTATGACATTGAGACTAGCAAGCAGCAAAGGGACTATTATCAAGGAGGACAAGTTAAGGTTGGAGGACAAATATCTAGCCATGATAATTCTTGAAATTAAAATCAAAATATGTACGAGAATTATTATAAATTCTCACACGCGCACGTGCATGCAAATCCGATCTCTGGGATTGTATGGAACGAAACCTTGTTGCTCATCATCCCTTTGACCATGTTACTACGTTTAAAATAAAATATTGATGATACGCAATAATAGACAAACGCGCTCATCGGTCAAAGTTTTCAGTTATTATCTTTTTTTAAAAACAAATTCAAATGCGACCCGACTGCGTGGGAATTGGTGTCGGCGGCCCCACCATCTTCAAGTCTCTCTCCTACTAATGAATTATGAAAAATTCCCTAAGGACCCAAAATATGGGACCAACAGGGGAGACATGTGAGATGTTCCTCTCCTATTGTATAATGAGCTGACTATCATTAATGATGGTCAGCTTATTATGCAATAGGAAGGGGTCACCTTACCTGTCCCCCCTATTGGTCTCATATTTTGGGTCACTGTAGCAATCTCATGAATTCTTCACTCATCGGTCAACAGGATTGAGGCCGCTCTACAGGATTGAGGCCGCTCTCAGTCTTTCATGGCCTCAGTTGATGGCCTCAGTTGCGTACGTACATTGCATCTACTGACGTTTCCATAATTCAATTATCTGTAGTTGAAAAGTTTTTTTTTTTAAATGCGGTTATGCAAGATCATGTAGGGGAGTTATATTTTGTTCCGGTGCAATTTTAAAGTTGATGATTATACTTCTAGTTATATATATGCACTAATACAATAATCTTCTTATACTAATCTTTTCACTATTTGTATAGATTTATCATGTATATTGTGCGATCAAATTAACTTTGGATATTGAGGACAAGTGTGTGATGAGGGCTGGAACATTCATGGTAAATCAAACAGTGTCATGATCCTTTTTTTTTTCTTTTTTGTCTGAGCCACGGGGTGCACCCTGTTGGACGAGACTAATCATTGCTCGTGCAGGGTGGCGGGTGCTAACCCGAGGAGAGTTTTAGGGGCTGTTTGGATGAGTTTTTTGGATGGGTAAAAAGGGAGAAAGCTGCCAAAAATGTTAGCTTTTTGGCAGCTTTCCTTGAAAATCGCCTCTTA